GTTACCATTAATTGACTGGGCCATAACTTTACCTGGAAGGGCATGAGAAATAATGTTAAAGAATATATAGCGATTGTGAAGTTTGCAAGAAACTTAAACCTTCTACCCAGTCATCATTGGGTCTTCTTCAACCCTTACTAGTACCAGAATTCATATGGATTGATGTTACAATGGACTTTATCACACATTTACCTTCTTCTGCAAGGTCCTTTGTCGTTATGATGGTTGTGGACATATTAACCAAGGTTGCACATTTTGTTCCTCTCCTAGCATATTATTCAGCTTCGAAGATTGCAACCTCATTCTGGGATCATGTTGGAAAGCTACATGGGATACCGTAATCAATCACTTCTGGTAGGGATCCAATCTTTCTTAGCGATTTCTAGCTATCTTTTTTCAAGCTTCAAGGAACAACATTGAAGTTAACTCATCTTACCATCCCTAGACCGATGCGACGTAAAACCAGATATTTTTAATAATGCGACGTAAAACCAGACATTTTTAATACAAACGTTTACAAAATCACTGATTAGGTAAATGATTAGGACAAGAGCGGCGATTATGCCCAGGTAGCTTGCAAAGACCATACTTAATTCGACTTTGACTGGTTTCAACTTCATCCATCTCGTTACGTATTCTAGTTGACTTTGGACGGCCTTTTGCACGCAACATAGATTTGTCTGGTATGACCACTGGACCTATCCAAGGTGGAATAACAACCTCATTACCAATTGCTGCCAAGGAAATGAGTATGTACGAAACAAATTCTCTGTCAAGAACACATCATCCACATATCGAAAAGGATTCTGCCGAACACTTAGTGCAGCCGCTGCGGCATGACTACATGGGTACTTGAAAGCCTTAAACTTTTCACATTGACAAAATCTCTCTGGAAGGTTGACAGAATACGACCTCTCATAACCCTCGTCAAATTCAAATACTGTTTGATCAACATTATATGTACGCACATTGTGCCCTGTAGCAAGGGATTCATTATACTTCATCGATTCAACCACATTTTTACAATGACGACGTGAAGCATGAAGTTGTGCGGCAGCTGCTTGACCTATAGTAACAAAATAATGAACTAGTCTGCTATATGTATGCTTAACCAAACCAGTTATTGGCATGTTTCTTGCACCCTTCAAAACCCTGTTAACTGATTCAAACAAGTTTGTTGTCATATGGCCATATCTAAGTCCATCCACATCATATGCACGCGTCCATTTTTCCTTTGGAATCTGATCAATCCAATATGCAATCTCAGGACTAGTGTCACGAAATTTTGCAAAGGCTATATCGAAATCAACCTTTGAAGGAGTATAACCTGAAAAGATAATGACAATTAATAATTTCAATACTCAGTAATACTGTCAAATGAGACGTAAAAAAGATGTAACTCATACCCAAATTCATAACCGTCTTCTTCAATTTTTCGTTCCTGAACTTTTGATTAAAATTACTTGCAATATGGCGAAGGCAAAACACATGATGGGCATGGGGTGGTTGCCAACCACGATGATTCTCCACAGCAGATAATATGCTTCGATGCCGATCTGAAATGAGACATATGTTTTGCTTTTGCGTGACATGATGACAAATGTTATCAAGGAAGTACTCACATGCTTCCAAAGTCTCGCCTTCAACAATTGCAAATGCTAGTGGCAAACATTCAACATTTCCATCCTGAGCTGTTGCAATGAATAATTTCCCTTTATACTTACCATATAAATGAGTGCCATCGATTTGAATTACTGGTTTGCAAAAATTGAAAGCTCGCAACATTGTCTATAAGTCCAAAAAATGCGATGAAACACACGTTTTTCACGTACTAGTCGATGAGCAACAAAATTAAACAAATTTACAAAGAGCAGCGAATATAAACGTATATTTTCATTGTTTACTGGCATACCTTATGAAATTTGCGGTAACTGAGTGGACGCGACGTCATGATGTTCGTGCACATGAGACTCCCCCACAACATTATATTCTAGGATTTGAGTTTCAGGATTACCACATTCATCATCGTTGTCTGAAGCGCTAGCATCCTCAGCAAGAAGTTGATCTTCCATTGCAATATTTTCGTCATCGTCATCATCACCATCATCTTCCATAACCCAGGTAGGGTCATTTTCTTTTTCGACAGACAGATTAAAAATTGGAGCAGCAGATGATGATGCATTATTTGCAAAATGGAAATCAACTAACCTCATGGGTAAAGCAACATCTTCCTCTTCGGCAATATCCACGTATAACTCTAAAAATCTTTCCTTGACTGGTTGAAAAATTCTCCGATTACCATTTCTACGTCTTCATCGTCAACAACTTGCATACTAATGTATTGTGATTCACACCATATTCTTGCAGTGACCATTTTGATAGATTGCTTACCTTCAAGCGCTGCCTTTTGACGAATTTTTTGATGTAGTTCGTTAATTGTTGAGTTCCGCATGATACGTGTTGGCCTTTTCTCGCCTTCAAAAATGACACCACGTCGACCTTCCATTTTCCTACCATTATAATATAAAACAAAACGAACAAAATCAGAATGTGAACTCATTCTTAACTATATTCATAAAAAAACACAAAACAGAGTATGCATAAGCAAACGAGACTGTATCGAAGACTAAGAAGTTAAGATGTATAAGAGTTGTGATGAATGTGGAGATGATAGGTGTTTATATAAGGAAATTCGGTGTCAATCACGCCTAGATTGGGCAGGAGATGCGGTTGAGCCACGCCCAGATGAGGCTGGAAAATGCAGTGATTCACACAATTTGGGCGGGAATGACGTGACATTCACGCCTCATTTAGGCATGAATTGTCCAACCATTTTTGGGCTTGAATGACTGCTACAGATTCAAAAATAGTATCTAGACTGCAATATATCTGTAATTATTTATTAAAATAGTAATATTTTAATTTTTTTGCCAGAACTATTTGGATTACTAATTTGCTAACTCAAACTATCTAATCTTAAATAGAAATTAGTTATAAATATTTTAATACAAGTTAATTAAATATGTCATTGAAATTAATATATTTGGATTCTATTTATATAAATAATTTGGAAAATAAACCCTCACAAAAAAATGGAAAATAAACTAACCTGACGCATTAATCCGCGTCTATCACGTTATAACCCAGGTTGACATGATCGAACAATTTGAACTGACCCATTTATCTAACTGCAAATTTTGGGTAAGATTAATTGGTGTTTGACCTTTTTATCCTTCATTAATTAATTAATAACCATTTTGCCCCTTATTCAAAACTATCTACCAATCTTCCCCTCTTTAATTGATTAACTTGAAGATTTAATCGATTAAATGGTCAAAACTAGCAAAAATGGTTGACTTGAAGATTTAATCGATTAAATCTTCAAGTTAATCGATTAAATCTCCCAACAGGTAACAAAGGTCAAATCTCCTCCATAAACAAAATAGATTCCATGCATATGAAGCAAATCAACAAGCATAGATATTAGATAACCAAACAAACAAAGAAACCAACAAAAGAAAAATGATTCTTGGAAACTAGATTGATTTACATGAACTGAGCGAACAACGAACCCTTCCCGTCTTGCATATTCATCATAAAAATACTTAGCAGAATCTTCAATCAATTTTCCGTGTATTGGAGGTTATTTGAATTTTGAATTTTGAATTTAATGTAATAGAAGTTGATTGCGATTTGTATTTAATAGGACGTAATCAGCTCCTATTAAATACAAATCGCAATCAACTCTTATTACATTAAATTCAAAATTCAAATAACCTTCAATACCGTGTTTGTCTCATTCAATCAATGCTTTCACGCTCATTTAGGATATTTAATCGATTAAATATAAGTTTTAATCGATTAAATCAATTAAGAGGGATATTTAATCGATTAAATCTTCAAGTCAACCATTTTTTCAGTTTTGATCATTTAATCGATTAAATCTTCAAGGTAATCGATTAAAGAAGGACAAATTAGTAGATAATTCTGGGTAAGGGACAAAATGATTATTAATTATTTAATGAAGGGTAAAAGGGTCAAAAAGCCAAGATTAATTACTATGTTTAATTGCAATACTTAATATTGTTGTCATTTTCTAGCGTGTGAATGATTGGGAAATAAAAATATATTAATAATACTTGAAAAAATACATTAATAAAGCATGACCCCTGACTTTATAAGTGTATTAATTAAAAATCTCATAAAACCCTAAAATTGGAAAAATGATTTTCTCCCCCTTAATTAATTTTGCTACGCGTAAATCATGGCTATCACTATTTCCTAGAGGCTGAAACCCTAATTATTTGTACATTAATTACAAATCCCACAATTTCTTCCTCACATATCACCCATATTATTGCTAGACTCTTCAACTATCGTGCTTCATCATTGGGAAATTGTCACTTTAGTTTTCTCCTAATGTATAGGACAGGACTTTAATAATCGCGGTACAACAACGAGGGCTATTGATTTTGTTCGTGATTGAAATTGTTACTAACACGAAAGATACATCCAAATTCATAAAGTAAGCACCTTTCTTGGGACTGTGAACATTATATAAGGTACGGTTCTCTTGCATATATTTTTCCAATATAAGCAAAAAAAAAAAAAAAATGGCGGGACATTCACCAAAAAAACGAACAAGTTTAATATTATTTTTCCTTTTTTTCCCTTTTTAGTAAATGCCCCAATTTGAATCTCACTTGCTTTGCATACATTCTTTGCTTTGCATACATCCTTTAATTTTCGCTTTCAAACATTGAAGACCATATGCTTGTTTCCTCCTTTTTCATTTTCATTTGTAGTTCCATTCTTTTCTTACCATTTCTGATTGCCACGAGAGAATAAGAATCTAATACAGTTTAAAATGTTTGAATGGACCAAAAACCAAAACCAAAACCAAAACCAACCAGTTTCACCACCCCCACCAAAGAATCTAGTGAAAAAGACTAACACAAGATACATTTCTTTTAGAGGTGCGCCAACACCTTTAAATGGTGGAATTTACTTTACTTTAGGAACTCATAGCTAATCTTTACAATAAATAATAATAATAATAATAATAAAAAACAGATATTCCAAACTTGATAGTGAGCAATGCAAAGCCAATACTATCTTTTCTTTTCTTTTCTTTTTTTAACATAGACACTTGCACTTGATATAGTCCTCCAAAGCATGCATGGCTGCTGCTGTTGCAACAACATCTTGTACAATATATCTTTCTGGCTTTTAAACTTTAAAGTTAAGTTAATTGCTTTACATGCAAGCACAGATTTCAATTCAATTGAAATTCGTGACACTCTTCATCTCTCTCTCTCTCTCTCTATCCATCTCGCTTCACTCCATCCTCACAAGATAAGTTCAATAACAAATGTAAACACTCACTAAATTGAAGTTTGTGTAGAAACTGACCAAACTTTCTTTTGATTCTTTTGAGCTTATTTTCTATGGGACAAGCTTCCTTTTCTCTTTTTCCTCTTTAGGCCACCAACTCTTCCCCCATGACAAATCAATTTCCGCAAGTTAGTTTAGCCCTTGCATGCAAGCTGGAATACTAAGAAGCTCAAGTCAAGGGTACATATGAAGTCACTCCCAGTTCTTAGAAGTACATGGCTAACAACATCTTGTGCATGTCTTCTTCTGCAAAGTTGCTGAAGCTTGTCTAATTCCTAATTGATTATGCTTGACCAGGAGGTCGACCAGAATTTCCAGCTCTCCTGAAAAAAATTATTAAATAATATTTTGAGGAATTCCTGGAGCTGAATAAAACTGGATGCAAGTACAGTTTATAGTGGACAATGCATATTAGAAATAATCCAACATTTATGAAATAGTTTCATAGCAAGTTTTACTTCATGCATGCTTGTGTCTTGTGCTAAAAGAAATAAAGCAAGATCAAAAGAAAGACGAGCAGGAAAAAGTTTTAAGTTTCTTAATACAGAGAACCGAATGATATAAATCACTTTAATTGCTCATGATTTATCAATAAGTGGAATAAAGTTTTTAGCCATAGCACTTTATCTTTTCTTTTAATAGCTTTATCTGTTAACCTATTATAAAGGACTGCACCTGTTAAAAGAACTTCAATCAACAATTCAATGTAACAGTTAAAAAGCGTGGTAATCAGCCCTCACAATTTACTTTTCGTCCTTTTTGGTTAAGCTTCATAATAGCAGGAACCACTACACTTGAAATTGATGAGTCTTTTTTCTGTAAGATCTAGAGGTGTAGTACATTTGAAAATAATCTAATATAAATTTTAGATTATAATTTGGGTAAACATAAAGATTAGGCACGTAATAGAGGTGTTGTGATTTGAAAAGAAAGAACTCTTACATTTGTTAGGAATAGCAGAGCCCAAAACACCCCAATGATCTATATTAATTGGCTAGGCCAGAAGCACACAGAGGATGCATCACATCTTGAAATTTTCAAGTCTTAGGATTATGGTCTTTTGACTTATATAACTCTTATTTTGTATATTCTTTTCTAAAGTGAGACTTCTTAACTTGCATCTCACTCATACTTATATTTTTAACAATTTAATATGTTCATTACTAAACTTCCCATAGATTCTTTGGCTTGTTCACGTTTAATATTGAAAGCAATGTTTATCTAGGTGGCAGAGAATGTTGAAGAAACGTAATATACATCCAAGTAACGAACACACTGACATAATTGAAATTAAAAAGGCATATATGAACACATAACAAAATATATAACTATTTTTTGTAGTCTTTGGGTTGTGATAAGCTAGACAAACCTGTTATGGATAGGATCTGGTCCATTGGGAACTCTTCTTTTGCTCATGTAGTTGAAATCCAATTCTGCATGGTTGACAGGCTTATCCCTACCAACCACTTGCTCATGCTTGAGTCTTTCTGTTTGTGTAGTTGGTTGTCTTGTTCCTCCACCACTAACTAAGCTTCCAAAAACCAAAAGACAAAGAAGCCACACCACTGCAAGAGCTCGAAAGAAGAACCTTGAAAGGAAAGAACTACTACTAGTAGCCATATGCAAATTTTTTTTTCCTGATTATATGTATTTGTATATATTTTTATGTCATAGGATGAAGGAGATGCCTCAGTGTGCTATGACATATAGATGAAGAGAAAAACAGAAAAGCCTATCATTGCATCATGATTGAAGTGAAATTGGTGTGAAAAGAAGACAAGAGAGGAAGAGAATACAGGGAGAGAAAGAAGGGTGAGTTAAGCCAAGAATTTTTTTACTACGAAGGATTAAGGGGGGTGGTTGGTTTTCTTTATAGGTTGGAGGATTATGTTGCACTTTCTCGAACTCAGAGAGAGAGAGAGAGAGAGGCTTAGCTGGTTTCGAGCGTGTCATAGATGCAACACTTTGCTTTATACGGAGAAAGGTTCCAATACGACACTATTCTTTTGCTTTGATGTGTGTATTTTCATGCAACTACGGTTCCAAAAGACTCCTTATCCTGTCATTCTTTACGTACAATGGTGTAAAAGGAAAATAATATGTTGCCTTGCATGTAGTGTCATACTCTGAATGCCTCCGGAATCAACAAGGGAAGGAGAAAGGATAGAATAAAATTTGCTGCATTATTTGTTATGGACTGCATGCGCTAAGCTTGGTAAAGAAGATCCTCACACACCACCAACAAACGACAACATTCCCATGTAAATATTATAGTAAAAGAAAGCATTCTCTGAATGAATAAATTAGAGGGAAAAGAGAAATATTAGTTACCAAAGCTGCAATTGGAATATTTGGTTCTCTCTCTTGGACTGAAGTTTGTTAGGCCACATGCTTCAACCAAAACAACTCAATAAAACAAGTGAGATGCCATAGAAAAAAAGAAGTAGTCTATTCTAATTTGACTAATAAAGTAAAGCTATAAAAAGTAAATTAAGAATAAAACAGTACCGGAAAAAGAAAACAAATTATATCATACTGTGAACATCTTAGATTGTGTGGGCGTTCAATATTCTTGTCCATGATTAGATTTTAATGATAGACAAGGCACGCCTTCAAATTACTCATGTCATGACTACCCTGTGCCTTCCATCCAATGTGCTTTTTTTTTTTTTCTTCTTTGAATTTCTCATAGAAAAGCAGATTTTCATGGCCTTATTGGCTTTATATATATACATGTTATATTAATAATAAGGGTTTGATATCTTTCATGTAATAAATGTTTATGGGGTCATGTGAAGAAAAGAGATAAAAAAAGAAAATATAGGCCCCCTACTTTTATGTTTGTGTAGGAAATAAAATTATTTCCTACAATACGAAGGAAATTAAACCTTAATAATAATATAAATTTAATCTTCATTATAATACCATTATAATAGTTTATTTTATTAAATCCTCTGTTACTCTGTTGGGGATTATGCCCTACACAACAGAAAAAAATTCTCTCCTTTCTCTCAAATCCTCTCTCTCTCTCTCTCTCCAATCCTGTATTTTGAACACTTCCTCATCAAAGCATGTTGCCATCTTTAATTCCAAATATGCTCTATAGTTTGTACCCAACAGTGGCTACCACAAATGACCCACATACATATATGCTTTAATATATATTGTGAACCACTCTTAGTTGCGGCTGCAAATTATTATACATCTTTGTACTCTGGTCCCTTGGACCTAATAATGGATATCACCGTAAGGAATCTCAACTCTAAATTAAATAGGAAAAAGACGAACATATGCATCAGAACTATAGAATAGATTACAAACAGAAGCTGGTTCTTTAAAGAAGAGCTTTGATTAGGGGAATATATAGCACATCACACACCTTACTACTCCTTGAGGCCAAAGCATAAGGCACATTTTGTCTTATCCATTCTGCATGAATCTTACAATAACAAAAAAACAAAGTGATTTTTGTTGGAGAATCCAATGCTTTTTACTGTAATAGCTTCACCTTGAAGTTACAAGGATAACTTAGTTATTCATATCAGCAAGTGCTATGTTACTCCAAGAAGCTTTTGGAATTGATGCCTTGCCTATGGCACATGTTTGAGGTGTGGAATATTACATATATAAAATGATACTTGACAATGATTTATACCTGTGGAATTTACAAAGTTAATCAATTTCAGAGTTATAAGGCTAAGGGCATGAGTCAAGCCGCCTTAAGCTGATTTGCCCATTGCAGAGAACTTTTTGGATTTGTCCCACAACAGATGGCTAATATTTATACGGCTTGTCTGCTTTGCACGTTTATTTTATTAATATCAACTTTTAACAAATAACATGTAATTCATCTAGAAGATTGACATATAATATATGAGAATTCTTTTTTAAAGATTTATGAACTAGAAGTTGGCCATACGCTATGCTTATTAGATATTTTAGGACTATATAACATTTTCACCAGCTAAATCAAATGGTTTTTGAGACAACATTTGGATTCCAGATTAGACAAAACGACCATTTTGAATTTAAAGCCAATTGAGTCAATTAAAATTTTTCAATTGACCAAATCATACATTTTCCTAATGCCTTCTATACGAATCTTCCAGTGTATTTATTAATGTTAGTTTAGGTAGAACCAAGGGCCGCTATTTGTATGTAGGTCTAAAGGGTACTGAATATGTAAGTTATTCGATGTACTTATTTCTAATGAACAGGGTTTTCTGTATATCATATATATATAAAGCAGAGTTACACTCTTCTCAATTAGCTTTATGTGATTACTATATATGCAAGTTTGTAATATCATCATGGTATAATATGCCTGATTGGTTTGTTCATTAGAGTGAATGATTCAAGTGAGTTAAAACTAGTGACAGAACTTACTGTCCTGGAAACTATATTGAGCTCATCCATCAACCCATTTAAAACTTTCACTGCCGTTGAGAACATAGATAACCATGTTCTTAAAATTGATTATTTTCTTTAATGCTGAATGGCACATGGAAACATATTAATTAGGCTTCATAACAAATTTTGTAAAAACATGCAGCATAAAAAGAATAACATGACCACAGACCATTCATCAAGTCATGACGAAAAGGAAAGCATTGGGATAAATTTTATTGTTTAAATACATTAGTGCCTAATCAATACCATATTACATTATTACCATCAAATCAAACAGTTGCAGGAGGTCGTGCAACTAAAACATTGCAATGCTTTTTGGAAGAGAATCTATCCTGGAAATGGGTAATGGAAGATATTAATTGCAAATCTCGGTTGGCAAACATTTATAAGGGGTGGAAGCGAAAAATTATCTCTACATTACTGGGTTTTCGGTATCTTTGTGGATTTGTTATAAAAAGGCTAATCTTTTTGCATCTACAGTCAGATGACTGACAGTGCTGAGTGATAAACCATTGCTTTTATTTCGAAACTTTTGATTCGATATATGGAACAAAACAAAGTATCCAGCTTCTTACTTTCATGTTCTGCAAGAATCTTTATACTATGTTATATATTTAGATTTTGGTTCTTCCTGCAAGCTGAGTCTGAAGGAGCTATTGTAGAGAATCCAGAGATGTCTCTCCTCTGCATTTGATTTTGATATATATATATATATATATATATATATATATATATATATATGGGGAAAAGAATTCTCATGTTACATGATAATTCTTTCTTGTTGTAAATAGTAATTATGTAGTCATTTATTAGTAATTATGTAGTCATTTATTTGTATTTATTTAGTCCGTAACTTGTATATTGGGCTAAGCCCATTAGGTCAAAATTAGGTCAAGAAGTCTCTATAAATAGAGACCCCTATGTACAGATTCAAATACGATTCAATAATATTTCAAATACCCTTTTATTTCAAGTTGGTATCAGAGCTCTCGATCCTGAGGGCTCTGCTTCCGCGCCTATTGTCTTTAGAACAAGAACCTTTTATTCTTTTTGTCTCTCGTTGCCATCAGCCGCCACCGGATTTTTTTTTTTCCGGGGACCTCTTGGACCGAGAAGATCTCTGTTATACTGGATCTCTGTTACTGTTCATCATCTCCATTATTCTTCATCACAAGACAGCATCTGTTCATCACAATTGGACCCTTTCCCAGTGGTTTTTCAACTCTGAACAGACCTAGAAAGAACCGCGCTCACCGGACGACGTTGCTACAGAAATTTCAGACCGGACAGCCACCGCACGCGCCCACACGCGCCGCCCCTTCAACCGCGAGTGAAGCCCACGCGCAGCCAATCTCACCGGCGCGTGGCGGTGCGTGAGATCATTTTTCCGGATCGGACCACCGCGATCTTGATCGTCCCTTCATCCTCTTTCTGGATCTGTGCTCCTCTCTTTGATCGGACATCGTTTGGTATTTATTTGTGATTTTTTGGCTTCTTGGAGCTTTTCTTTGACCATTTTCTGTGCAGTATGGCCTCTTCTCAAAGGAGTTCTTTTTCAAAATTTTATGATGGTACCTCTTCTAGACCTAAGAGAGATGATCCTTGGTGTTCTTATTGTAAAAGAACAGGTCATATCAAGGATTTATGCTTTCGCCTTTATGGAAAGCAATTTGTCTTAGAAAAGATGGCAAAGTTGCGTGGTCAAGCGCATTTTACTTCCTCTGAAATAACTCCTACACCTAATAAGACCCAACCTACATTTCGTCCAGATGAGTTGGAACGGCTCCGAACCATTCTTGATTCTATGAGTAAGCCATCTGATACTAGTGCTTTGACTATGACTGGTATGAGCTCCAAAACTTATTCTTTCCTTTCTTCATGTAATGATTTTAAACATTCTTGGGTTGTTGATTCAGGTGCTACTGATCATATGGCTTGTTGTGCTGACTCATTTACCTCTTATCATCCTACCATTGGAACTCATACAATAGCCGTAGCTGATGGCTCTCATACATCAGTTGCGGGATCTGGTGACATAAACTTACAGCAGTCCTTACATCTTAAGGATGTTCTTCATGTTCCTAAACTCTCCACGAATCTTCTTTCTATTCATAAAATTACAAAAGATTTAAATTGTACTGTAACCTTCTATCCTACCCATTGTGTTTTTCAGGATCTCGCCACGGGGAAGACGATTGGTAGTGCTAAAGAGCAAGGTGGGTTGTACTATCTGGTGTCACAATCTCCTGCAAATAAAGTAACAAATCATATCTTGATGTCTCATGGTCAATCAACTGTTGATTCTTTGATTTGGCTTCATCATAAGCGCTTATGTCATCCTCCATTTAGTTTACTCAAATCTTTATTTCCGTCATTGTTTTTGTCTAAATCTGTTGAGTCTTTTCATTGTGATGTTTGTGAATTTGCTAAGCATCATCGTGTGTCTTTTCCTTCTAGTATTACTAAGAGTGTTGAACCTTTTGATCTTATTCATTCTGATGTTTGGGGTCCCTCTAAAGTCCCTCATGGTTCTGGAAATAGATGGTTTGTTTCTTTTATTGATGATTGCACTCGTGTAACTTGGGTGTACTTAATGCGTGAAAAGTCTGAGGTACCACAACTGTTCTTTCAATTTTATAAAATGATTGAGACCCAGTTTGGTAAAAAACTCAAGAGACTAAGAACAGATAATGGTACTGAATATGTTAATCATAGCTTTTCCCAATTTATAAGAAATAACAGTATGATTCATGAACTTACTTGTGTTGACACCCCCCAACAGAATGGGGTTGCTGAAAGAAAAAATCGTCACCTTCTTGAAGTGGCTCGTGCATTAATGTTTCAGACACATGTACCCAAATACTATTGG